GTGTAGTGGTGCTTTGGGGGAGGGGGCAAAGAAAGGGACTGGGGAAGAGGGAAGAGAAGGGATCGAGCTCCCTTCTCTTCACTACTTCCCAGTCACCCCCCTTTCCTCCCCCCCCTTCCCTCCCCCCCCCCCCCCCCCCCCCCCCCCCCCAAAGCACCACTACAGGCTAAGAAATAATGGTAATTAAATTTTTGGTATTGCAGAAACTAATTATTATGGATCCCATCTATCCACATGCCTTAGTTGGGTAACTTTCAAATTTGATAAATGAACATCCACTAGAAAATAAAAAGTGTACTATCGTTGTACAAATATGTACATGTACAGAAGTATGAAAACTCACCCCACAGCAGCATGTTGCTCAGATTGATGAGATGCAGATATACAGAATACATATTCTTGAACAGGGCAAGCACTGTATACTATGTTCTGGCTGTGTCTCCATGCAATAATAGTGCCTTTTTCATCAGCTATGTAAAAAAAATACATCAAATAAAGTATTGTTGCCAAGGCAATGTCACTCTTTACAAAATACAGTACTACAGTCTTTATGTGTCTCTGTATGCTTTACATAGTTTATTCGTCACTTTTGTCTTATTTCTCATATCATAAAATGCCAATATGAACTACCATGTTGTTGGAACCTAGGGAAATCAACCTCCTCGGCTCATTCATTTCCTTGAAAATAAGTTTCTTTGTTTAAGTTGTATTCACATGTCTTCTCATGTGCAACCAAGTGCAACAGTTAAATAAAGCAAATGATACTCTAGGAAATGACACATGGTCTGAAATGGGAAAACATTACACCTGAGTGCGCCCGAGCCGAAGAGGTCTATAGACAATAGGCAATATAATAAGCTGTTTTAGTGGTCCAGTTTCCCAATTTGTACCCCACTACTAAAAACCAGCCCCCATCCCCCTGTGATATGCCTTTAAACCAACTATGATTCCCTGCTTATACTGACACTTTCTCTAGTTTAGGCAGCATGTCTGTATCTATAGTAGGTTTAATGTGTTTGAGGTTTGCTTGTATTGGATTGAGTTATAAATCAGTAAGCTGCACAATCATAAAAAATAAAGAWTACCTGAGAAAATAAGATCACTCGCAGCATGTGACCAGCAGATGCATGTTATTTTGGCCTGAAGTTATAAAATAATTAAAACAATTAAACTTTCTATCCAATATACGTATGATAGATAACACAGTGTATTAAATGGGCTTCGAGCAGTCTCAAGTAATGTGTTCAGTATGTCTGATAATCCCCTGGGTGTAGCAATTGATTCCAGTCTATCAAGAGATTACAGAGATCTAGGGCAAATCTAATGGAGGTTAACTGGGTGACTTTGTAACCTTTTTCCCAACCCCTCCCCACCACCACTGCCACCCACACCCACACCCACACCAACACCAACTTCTTTTTGCCAACCAATTTCCTCAAAAATGTGGCAGGGGCTGTGAAGGGAGTGGGTAGCACCACCCCCCCCCCCCCCCCCCACTTTTTCCCCACACTAGTGTCATATTATTTTCCAATCTTACATTTATAGACCCCACTTTTTAGGGTCCTCTGCGGCCCCTGTGTGGGAAGTGGATATTAGCGCCTGCATCATAAATCCATTTATTCCTAGGAACAGCTCTCATATTCGATGCTGGAAATCTTACAAGTCTTTGATGAACTCTCAACGTCAAACCAACGTATTTTTACAATGCGCACCAAAACATCTGTGAGCGTTTCACCAAGGAGGTTTCTCAAATAACTGGATAATTTCAACACTTACCTGGTGAACATTATGAGATACAGTTACTACCTTGGTCTCAATATCCCATATTTTGATCGTCTTATCGTCCGCTCCACTCACACAGAGATTAGATTGACCCTCGTGGGGACAAAACACAACTGCACTTGTGCGGTCTGAGTGCTCCGTAAATTGCCCCTTGAAACATGGCGGCTCTCGGCTAATATCTAATACATACACTCTCTTCTTAGCAACGAATGCGTACGCTCCGTTTAAGCTACAGTCAGCAGCAGAGCTACAGTACCAGTTCGGAGAAGGTGGAAGAACACAATTTATTCGCTTATCGTCCGCCATTTTGGAACTTCCCGCGTACAAGGACTGGGACGAGAGGTTTAAATTCACCGCGAGAGACTGGGTTGGCAAAGAATTCAATATGGCGGTGCGCACGTTCTGTACTTCAGGTATATAAGCTTGAATTTATTAAATTTCTCCCCTGTTTACCTTTATATCAAATAAATTTTTTTAAACACATTCAAGTTTTAATGCCTAAGACTATTTTAGAATTGTTTTATCAATCGATTTTTGTTTTCTTATAGTCGAAAATGCGCTCAAAGTTTTGCAGTTTCAGCTGAGGTAAGTTTGTGTTTGGGATCAAAAATGCGATGAACTCCGAAAATTATCCATCAGTGCCCTTATTTTACGCAAAGATAACCATTAAGCATTTCGTTTCATTCATTTACACAATTTTTTCTGTTCAGGAGTCTATCCCTCGTCTCTGGGCAAGTCTCAAGGATGCACACAGGGAGCCCACGGACGGCTAGTTTCTCTGTTACTCGAGCTGTTTGGGGTAAAACACAAGCAGAACTGGAACAAGAAAAAGGAATTCCTGAGCAGCCAACAAAAGAGGTGAACCAATATTTATTTAGCACAAAAAATGTTTTGTCAGCAGAGTTTCTTGAGAGGAGAAGAGGGGGGGGGAGATGTGTTGGCAAGAACAAAATTGCTCTGGGGGAGGTGGGGGAAGGAAAAGCAAAGAATGTATTGTTTTTAATATTTGGGCTTATCCTTTAGCATGATGCACAAGTTTATATATTTGATACAATTTTCAGAGAATCTATAATAGCCGGAGGGATATCAGATGTGGTCCTCGGAAGCTTAACCTCGTAGCTAGACAGGTATGCACTATTTTGATATGTGTGTACATCAGAATACAGTGTACCAATTTATAGTTTCAATTTGTACTTTTTCCTACTAAAAGAGAAGGATTTCAATTTCAAGGGTTTGAAGGAGATGAGCAGGGTATGGTGTAGAACATGGCTTTTTTAATCATAATCCATGAAAGGGTATAGATATTCTGCATTATCAGTTATTCTCTTGTATGGCTCTTGTAGCTCAGTCATTTTCATTCTTAGTTATTTTCCTTGTCATACTTTTCTGTAAAATATTTTAAAAACTAAATAGTTTCTTATACCTCAGGACTTTTATTTATAGATACGTGGCTTAGGTATCACTGAAGCTATTAAACAGATGGAATTTTCTCCAAAGAAAGCTGCTATAACAGTAAAAGAGGTTAGTGTCTCAGTACAGTACTTGCAATAAGCAGTGCATTTAGTTGCATTTTGTTTTGCTTAATGAGCCTTTAAAACTCTGGTCAACATGTTGAATGATGCCAGTCCATGTGACTGTCCCCTTAAATCAACCAGTTGTTCATTAATCAAAAGAAATTATTTAAGGGAAGGGTCATGTGACCTGTCACTACAAATGGCCCTTTACTGTGCATTAGAGTCTGACCACCATAATGACCACAACAAACAGCAACACATCAGCAATAGTAAGGATGCAACCTGTTAACTGATAGCCGGGGGTTTACACTGGTAATGTGCTGCCTAACACTATAGACCTCTTTGGCTCAGGCATAATGTTTTCCCATTTCAGACCACATATCACTCCGTAGAGTATCAGTTGCATGTGAGAAACCACATGAATATGGATGCCACTCAAACAAAGAATCTTATTCTCAAGTCAATGACGTGGTCTGAAATGGCAAAACATTATTCCTGAGCCAAAGAGGTCTATTGTACAAACCTGCTATAATATATATGGAATGTTGCTTTTTCATTTTCTTCTTTGCTTTAAAAACTTATTTCTGAGTTGTTTGGTTTTCCAAAAATCCATCATTTGAATYCATTTACATGTATAGAACAAAGATGTTTGTTTGCTATGGACTATATCAGGGCTTTCAGATTGTGTTGGAGTACAGTAGGTGGTCATAAGTCTGAAGTAGCTGGCTGTGGTTCTATAAAATGAACATTATAAAAGACATTTTATAGAAAAGAAAAAGTAGCTGGTGGTTAACTTTGAAGCAATCACCAGAGCTCTGCCGGCCACCATATTATTCTGAAAACCCTGCTATACAGAGGTTATTTACTGGCAGGAGGTCTTGATAGGGAAGAACTGTGCACAAGGTCTTGAGTTCTTGTCAAAATGCTGTCATCTCCAACAGCCAATCAGAAGGAACAATTTTTTTAGGATAACAGACTCGAAAAATATAGTCAGTGTTACTCTTACAAAACAAAGATGAATTATTGATTTTGTTTAATTATTTAATCAATTAATAGGTATTGGAAGAAACACAGAAAGCTGCGACTACAAGTCATAAACTTGAAGATAAGGCTAATCTGTGGGTTGGTATGTACAATATAGATTGGTTACATATAATAATGTTGCACACTTTGGTTGGTTCAAAGAATGTAGTCAATCTATATAACTTGTCATGCCGTCAGATGCAGTCATGCATAGTGACAGAAAATACTTAATTAAATTCTTATATATWTTTTTATGAAGTCCATAGAAAATAATGCTAATGCAGACAGGATGCTTCTTTCTAAAATTCCAAAGAAAATTCCTAGTTTTGATCTGTAAATGGGTATTATTCAAGTCATAGCATACAGTAGCTTTGAATTGCACTGACAAGAGACTTGTTTGTCATCTTTTCTAGCTGAATCCTTTGTCGGCAAAGGTAGATATTACAAAAAGATCCGCATGCATGCCAGAGGCAGGTTTGGTATTGAAGAGAGAAAATACAGCCACTATTTTGTAGTACTTCAAGAGGGACCTAAACTAGGAAAGAACAAACGAAGAAGACTCAAACACATGACAGAACTAGAGGAAATACGAAGACACCCAAGATACATCAAGAATTCTCTGTCCTGGTGGTAGCTGTGCTCTTTCATGGTCAAGTACAGTATAGGTAGAGGGTAGGCATTCAAATGCTATGCAAGCAGATAATTATTCTACCAAAGTTTTTCTTTCTTTCTTTTTTGTTTTTTGTTTTTGTTTTTTTGTTGTTGTTTTTATGTTGTTGTTTTTTTGTTGCTGTTTTTTTTTTTTTTTTTTTTTTTTTGCTTAAGTAAACAAAGCCCCATTTTAAAGAAAATTGTGGCTTTCAAATACAACCGAATTGTGCCCGAGATCAGACAACTAATTCAAAACTACTTGTTTTCGAAGGTTTGCACAAATGTATAGACAATATGAATATCTATGTTCTTATTGTTTTGATTGATTGCTAAGCTGCTTTGAAAAATCCTGATAAGGGAGATTCCCTCTGGCCAACGTCTGGTTTCTGGTGTATTCTGGCACTCGTCCCACTTACTCCACAAAGTTAGCTTGATAAGGCGTGCTCATCCTAACAATTAAATATTTGGAACAGACTCTATCGCGGCATACTTCCTTTGATAACTTCACTGTGGTATTGAAGGAAAAAAATGTCAAATGTTCTGACTTTGCCTGAATTATTTAATAGAACGATATTTTTTTAGCCCTAAAATCGCGAGTCACATTGTTTATTGTATGATCTGACTGTTTGTTTGTTTTGTTTTGTTTTKCTTTGCTTTGTTTTGTTTTGTTTTGTTTTGTTTGTTTTTTATTTGAAAAGAAATGATCTTTTGTTTTTTCTTTCTGTACATGCGCAGTCAAGTATTCTTACCTATAGCGATATTTTCCAGTTCTATTAAACCCTAAAACAACCCTTGACAAGATAATTTTTCCTTATTCGAGAAAATATGCGTTTTTCACATCTTTTTATAAGGTGCCTATCGTGAACTTCTCATTTTAAGACTTTCTCAGATTTGCGAACCAAATTTTGGTTTAGTTCTGGCGCCAAAGCGCACTTCATCTGATGTGTCTTAAAACGAGTTAACTATTTTGCAGTTCGTAACAAAATGCGCACTTCATCGATTTAACCCTTTTTTGCCCTTATCCATTCGAAAATTCTACCAGAAACTTTCGTGCACAAGGAAAAACCACATTGTTCCGGCGCGTCAACCCCCCATCATCGTAAACAATATTTCTTCCACTCAATTTAAGACCCAGAAATATAATTCTATTTTTCTTTCCGGTAAGCGGTTAACGAGGGTATTTATATCTATCATAGGCTTTGTTCGATGGGTAGTTATTGACTGTACATGGACTGTCGATAAGAATGATAATAAGTACAGACGTCCATGCTCTAAATATTTGTTAAAGGGTCAAGATATCTGCGGCGATAATATGCTTTGACGATATGGAAAGGAATTGGTTTAGTATTAATGCGCTTGGGTAAAGACTAAATGCCGAAAGAATCAAGACACTTATTAGCTGTGCGGCCTTGAGGTTAATTTGCGCAGATAGGAAAACCAAGATGCGATCATCAATTCATCAAAAAAAAGAATGTTTGGATACTGCGCTTAATGCAAACGTCTGTCTGCTAAAATTGCGCGCAATTTTTATTAAGCTGACTATGGCTAAGATTAAAAATACAAACTGCTACCATGCTACTAAGCTCAGTCATACAAATTTCGTTTAAAAAAAGCTGACGTATGTCCGCATATTCTTCGCGTAACTATATGTTTGCTATGACTATGACTAAGACTGAAAATACAAACTGCTACTATTCGACTGCACGAAAGACAGTCATACAAATTGATTTTCCATGATCATCGAGGCTGTATTTGCGGCATATCTTGCGCGTGGTTTGTGTCAAACAAGAAGGGTTTACCGTTTGGCTTATCGGCATCATTATCATTAATCAATGTGGTTGTCAACACTTGTAGAAAATGCGTCTGCTCTGCGCAACTGATGTTACGCCAAAACCATGAGTTTTCGATGTGAATGGGAGGATAAGGAAGAGACATTCTTTCCAAATATGTCCATTGAGGATTAATTTTCTAATGGCATTTATTCTGTATCGTCCAGTTTCGTGTCACTTATTGGCCAGATTTCTTCTTCAAACTCCCAGACCCAGAGGTCATACTAATACAGAAACTACTTTTCGTAGCTTTTCACATAATTGTAAACGAATGTCATCGGTCGCTGATTGATGAATAAAATCCTTCAAATGCCTCGATTTTCGGGTCTTAGTAGGTTACTGCAGGAGTTTTACTTGAATTCCACGAGTGTTATCGAGTATAGGTTACCTTCGGTTTTGTCATTATAAACGAATCAATCTCTTCTCGCCTTGAAGTAAGAGATGCGAATCCAGACAGTCTATAATGTACTTTTAGTTAATTTATGACAGTCTGTAGTGTTCTGCCATGTGTTTATCGGAGCCCCTCGCCACTTCCGCCCGTTAAATTGCATATTGACTGACAAGTCTTGAAGGCATTGGAGGGACAGCAACGATTGATTTGTAAAAGAGATATGCAATATCCACGATTGACGTCCGTGGGAAAATCAAACTAAGGTAGATGTTCAGAGAACCAAAGTCTCAGTCGAGAATACTAGCTTCAGAAGAGCTCTTTCAATTAAGGTGTCAACAGGAGCGATAAAGTGAAGATAGGATGTTACAAAACCTGGGAACCCAGTTTCTGGTTGTGACCAATAGGTAAGCAAGTTATTGATCTATAAAAGCACCATTTATAACTCTGTGTCTATCTTTAGGTACTCGCCCCATTCCACAAGTAACCACACACGGATCACGGTCTAGAGTTTACATTCTAAGAATCCTGAGAATTACAGGCGGAATAAGAACTCTAAACCCATCAAAGTATGGTCATAAGAAAACATTCTAATTGGTCTTGTTTTCGTTTTGATGATAGTTGTGATAAGYTTTCATTGATTCTCGACTTGATGAAAGCAATAATAAGTAATAAGATTACTGCTCTTGCCTCTACATCGGGTCTTATCGTCAATCATCTGCACTACCATCACGGATAGCTCTAGCTTGGAGCATAAAAACCTTTTGGTTATTTTTGGAGCCTAGCGTCTTTCCTTTGTTGCACCGCGGGTGATTATTCCGTATCTTTCGTACCGTTGTACGTGAAAAACGAAAAATATTTCAATGATATTTGTCACGTGTTTATTAGCACGTCATATTTGAGATCGAGCGCTTTGATTGGTTGTTATCATCACATGACTAGTGGCTGCGATTTTCTAACTCGACTTGAACTATTTTGACCTATTTTGACCAGTGTTCGTGACGCGCTTTTTTTTAGAAAAAAAATCAAGGTACACAGATAAGGACATAAAAGGTTTCCAAGTGGGTTAAAGGCAATACCATAGTGAAGAATGCAACCCTTTGTCGACCGAGCTGATTTGAACAAGACCACTTTCACCGCGCGAATTTATTATTCGAATCATCCGATCTGCTCCTGATTGGCTGTCTTTGAATACTATCCATGACCCAATCATCAAAAGCTTTAATTGATGTTTAGAGCCTTAGCTGAAGAAACGATCAAGGCGTCTTGGGTGAGGTAGAATAGGAGATCTACCGTTAGGAACACCGCATCAAGCACAGAAATGGAAGGCACAAAGGGAAAAACCAAGAACGATTCTTCAGTGCCTCTTTCGTCTAAAGCTTCAGCATTCTCCATAGCATCATTGATGTCTTCTAACGGTGGCGAAGGTGAAGCTTGACAACATCCTATCTTTTTGAAATGTCAATCTGGAGCTTACCAGAGACCTTATATGTAAAATCTCAAGTCTGGTCCCTCTGTATTGGTGACACAGTGCATTGATAGTTTCCACATACTGATATGCCCCATTCCCTGTATAGCTTTAAATTTCTATTTTGTATTTTCTAAACAGGGTCAGACGCAGAAGAAACTCAAAATGAATGCTCAAACCCAGAAGAGGAAGAACTCGAAGAGTTTTCTTCGGCTTCTTCGCCCAAGAGATTTAAGCCATCGCAGCCCGGACAAGAATCTTATGGACCAGAAGAAAGCGAAAGTCAGACATCAGACTGTTTAGGGAAGTTTAAAATGTCTTCCTCGCCTGAGGAACTCAAGGACGTAAAGATTTCCCTTGAGGGTAGAGAGTTGTGGGAAAGGTTCAATGAATTAGGCACAGAGATGATCATAACCAAATCCGGCAGGTAAGAGCCTAGCTATTTTCAGAACAAGTTGTGGTTTGTTTTGCAAATTCAATTATTTTAGACAAAGTCGATGTCATCACTCCTTCACTTCATAGGAAACTCCATTTTTATCACAATGCCACATTTGCAATCGTTTGCCAGTTTAAACAAAACCGCGGATCGCCTAACTATCATGACTAATCGTGCCTCGAAATACGCTGTCAACTCATGTCGAGTTCTGTTAAGTAGTATAAAGGGCTAAGGTGTTATGCAGCTGAAATAAGTTTGGCAAAAGTAAGGTCCGCAAATAAACAGGCAACCGATGGGACTGACGCACAACAAGGTGTTATTTCCTTGCGTTCATTAGCCACTCAGACGCTTTAAGCGTTAAGAAAACAATTAAATTGGTTTTGGAGTATGTGTATATGAGACGAGACCTCAGTCATCCAATTCAGATTTACAGATTAAAAAGAACTTCTTTTGGCACGCAATCGTCCTTCGGCTTTCTTTCCAAGCATTTCTTTTGTCTCTACAGTATTCAACTCTAGGTAGGGTAATTCTTTGATTTTTGCGTTTAAATCCAATGATGAACGTACTGCGAATCGTTCAAAGGAGTCGCGTTCATTGTAACCTAGTTCTACATGAGCCATCCATGCTTCGGGCTTCTAAGCGGATTACACTTTCGTATAACTGGGTTTCAATCTTCTAAGTTTGATTCTTAACTCATCTCAAGTTTGCAAACTTAAGAATATTGAGCTAGAAAACCATTTAGAGAAGTAATTAATACTAGAAGGTTTGATTAGAATCTTTGATAAATGTTTATTCTTGAATTGGTGCGAACATGGAGCGCTATAATCTGTCGATTCTATCAATAAACTTGGCCATGGCTCAACTGGACGCGAATGAATCTTCCACGGAAACATCTTAATGTTGTAGTCCCTAATAAAGAGCTAGGTCACGAATTTTGTAGAATTTTTAACACGTATATTGAATTAAACTAAAAAGAGACTTATTAGTACTGAGGCAAATATCATAAACTTCTCGACGATAGGACGATAGAAAAAGGGTGCTGAAAAATACGAGACAGGAATTGTCAGTTCAACATTCCGAAAGAATGCTGCTTTGCGCTTTGGTTTGATAACTCAACACTGTTGGTCTTCGTAGGGAACAGAACATCTTTTCGCGATTATTCAAAGACCTAGTACGTCAGTTTGAAAGTATGATCCTAATCTGTTCGTAAGATGGAGTAAAGTCCCTTTTTAGGTGTTGTGTACTGTTAATGATTTCGAGGGAACAGGTCGAATGTAAAGTAGTGTTGATCAGCTTTTTGTAGCTAATTTAAGGTCACATTAACGCCAGTTTGGTTCCCACTGTGGGGTATAGAGATACAAGCTAACTAGAGGCTTGAACGCCCATGAAGAAAGCCATTAAACAGTACAAGTAACTGCGATTAACAACGAGGTGACCTATAATAAGGTTAGAGCTAGAAGTTGTTCTTTGATACTTCTAGTTGACGAATTGTTGGTGGTCGATAAGTAAGCACGCTAACGAATATCAACCATTACTATGTATAACCATGCAGAGACACTAGTACTGAAATATTCCTCTTTTACACTAGTAGTGCAAGTATTTCTGAAGTTTATCTAAAAACGTCTTTGTTTGTTGAACAGGAAAATCCAAGCGCTGTTTTCTTTCCGGGAAGTGTTTCCTTCATCTAGATTGTTTGTCAGCTTTTTCCACAATAATGAAACTTACCAGATACTTGTCTAAACCAAAACATTCCAGGTATCGTCAACTAATTCCAAACATGAACAATATACCAAATGTATCAAAAATAGAAAAACAGAACTACATTTAAAAGTCTCTCAGAAAGCTTGGAAGAGGCGCTAACTGATGTTCTATATGACGAAGTGCCTTTGGTTCAGTCTTATCACCTACCGCCCACTTTCCCAATTCTCAAAGGCTCTTTCAGGAAAATGCAGAGCAAAAGTTTGAAAGAATTGCTTTGAATAATTGATAATAAGTCGGAAATACTACAAATTATCTCTAAATTAACTAGATAAACTATTACCTTGGCATTCAACACAAACCCAGTGAATCAGATATGCACGTAAAGGATAAGAGGTACTCTATATTTTCGGGGGGTTTTTCCCCCACAGTCCCAGCGATTAAATATCGTTATTTTATGAAAAAGGTTCCTAAAACTTATTTATCTCAGTGTAGTGCTTTGAGGTACTATTAAGATGTTTGTAGACACAACAGAGCTTTGGTGCAGGTAAATGTCCTAAACATGCATATACGCAACAAAGTTCATTATTTTCACATGGATTCACACCATCAAGCAACTCAAGTCCAGAATTCCGGCAACACGTATAGTACGATATAGGCTTTTGATCGTTAAACATGTGTATAGCAATGATATCTGATTAATATGGTTTGTCATAGATTTAAGATGAAAATACATCATTGAAATCATGTGTACAAACAGTAGCTATCCTTGGCGTCTACTCAAGAACGATGTTCCTTTGCTGTAGACTTCAGAGATTCTTCAGGACTATTCTTTCTTCGTTGATTTACTTGTCTCAGTGATCAGTGAGGGTGTTTAAATGTTGGTTGCCAATGAGTTTATGACCAACTTTATGAGCTAAAGTATACAACTATAATCATTCTCAGGGTGCATTTCTGAGTTTAGCTTCTAGCCCTGCAATACCACTAGCCATGTACGATTAAAAATAGTAATAAACTTAAAACTTCAATCTTTGAGTTTTCTTATATTTCAGCAATTGGGTTAAAGTTTCAATTCCTAGTTTTAACATAATTTCTGATTATAAAGATCCTTCAACTCAAAATGTAGAAAATTCCTGAAAAACTAAGTCGAGGAAGGGTCAGTTTTTGGAAAAGGCTATACATGTAAAGACAACATCAGCTTACAAGTAGTATTAAGAGTATTGCAGTTCTTTGGATACCAACCTGATTGAAATACTTTTATATTAGTTAGTTCTAAGTCATGGAATTCTTATTTTGTATTTTATTCCACGGGTAGGTAGGTCTGCTTTCTCGAAGTAATTGATTTTTCTACCTTGTGACATCAATGCACTCGCTGTAAAAATCGAATGTAGAGCTGCTATGCACGGATATGTGAAGTTATTACAAGACCCTTACAAGGCAATCATTGCAATGAGCTGTTTGAAAGTCTACAGGTCCCTAAAAGTCAGGCGGTTAGAACATAGTTATCAGATCGTTATCTTCTTGCATTCTTCTTGACTCTGTAGGTATTTAAGTTCAACAGACAACAGTTTTTAGTGAGGTGTTTTCTATTAATGTTTCGACAATCCAATTGCCATCATCATTAGTAAAATAACTCTTGAAATGATTTTTATCATTTTGTCCGGCTTCCCGACAATGACACCTTGCATGAATTTGTTGGTATGATATTGAAAGTACTTTTCCCCAAGATAGATCATCAAAATTTCACTTCTCTCTCTCCCTTCTTGCAATTATTCGTCCAGGATGTTGGGCTTAATCTTTTCTTTGTGATCACGTTCCCACGGTGTCTTTACAAATCCAAAAAGGTTTTGTCTGACATTCATAATACTGCAGTATGGTGGCTGATGATTATTTCCCATATCCATATTATTTACGATTCCCTAATCTCCATGTAAACATTACTATAATAGTGTCGACTTCTTTTTTTTTTTTTTCTTTTCTTTTTCTTTTTTCTTTTTTTCTTGGCATGCAGTTAAACAATTCCCATTCAATTCCAAACCATTGTTCTCTATTGAATCCCCCATTTTCCCATTTTAATTTACGTTTTGATTTTTTTGATTGGTGATGTAACATCTTATCAATAAATTTGTTTTCTTCGCCACTTTTTTTAATTGATTAATTGGTCAGATGTAGTATAGTAGCAGAAGTTGATAGGCTTCAGCTCATTTAATTGTCCATTGTATTGTCCATTATCTTTATAAAATTCTCATCTCATTTCAATTCATTTTCTCATTTCCTATATTCACCTTTTTCCTGCTGTTTGTTTATTTCCCTGTTGATTTGTAGACGAATGTTCCCGACTTTACGAGTATCAGTAAGCGGTGTCCAACCTAAAGCTAACTATCTGGTGCTCATGGACATCGTGCCTGTTGATGACAAGAGATACCGATAYGCCTATCACCGATCCACGTGGTTAGTAGCAGGCAARGCAGACCCCCCTGCCCAGGTTCGTCTTTACATGCATCCTGACTCACCCTTTACGGGGGAACAGCTTCAAAAACAAATCGTTTCCTTCGAGAAAGTCAAGCTCACCAATAACAACACAGATCACAATGGACATGTAAGTTGACAAATTATTCAACTCCTCTGTAAAGTCGTCTTTCAATTATAATCAGACAAAGTTAAGCTTTTTTTTATTATTTTACATTGATTCTTTCTGGACTGGATGCCATCATATTTATAAACTGGTCATGCTCCCAATCCCCATACCCTCCCCCTTTTTTTCGCGGGAAGGGGAGAGGGAGAAGGAGTGGAAGTATCATCATCAATTACCCTTGTTCATCAACCTCAGTTATCATAAGACAACCGTCATTTCAAGTCCTGTCTGGGTGGCAAAGGGGATGGGCATAGCGCGTTATTTGGACGAAAATGCGCGAGGAAAGCTCTACATAGGTCGTGAGTGGGAATTTACTCTTTCAAATATTGTGGGCAATGAATAAATTCAAATCGTAGAACGTGAGCCGTAAAGGTTCCGGCGGCAATGAACCTCTGTTCCGCCTTGGCGGATGACTGCCAGAAGTGAACACGATAATGATTAATTGGCAGGATTCAAAGCAAAGGAATTAATCTTTAAAAAACTTCCTCTGTTTGTATCTATTTTTGCACTAAGTATTGGCGCTACTTGTTGAGTATCAATAATGTGATTGGCTATTCCAAGCGGTCATACCTTGGGGTCAGCGGTCAATCAGATGAAAAGTGTTTTAATCAATCAAGACATTAATGGTCGTTAATAACAGATGATAGGACTGCTGTACTTTAGGGAGTACAACAAATATGTAAAATCAATAAAGGAGGTTTTGTTTCCCCCTAGGTTTTGTGCATGGTCGGGAGCCGCGTTGGTCGGTAGACGGTGGTCGAATAGGGTGGTCGACAAATACGGGGCCGTTACTTTTAGGCTACACTTTCCAATTAACTAACAAGTATATCAGTGTCGGTGCTTTTGAGAACGTTATTTAGAAGTYCTTCTTCTCCAGTATATTCTGACATAAGAGAACATGCATGCCTATATACTGTCGCAATAATGACCATGACCTCTTGACGGTGTGCTCGTCCAACTCATTACCATAAGGGAATTAAAATTTCTAAATATTTTTATTTCTACTTTAGCCCTAAGCAACATAAAAAAAACCTTTTAAAAAATGCCGTTTTACCCCATCCCTCAAAAGATGTATTTGTTATCAATTAATTCCCAAACCTTATCCTTATCCCTACGTTGTCCGCTGGTTCCTACGCATTTATTTGATCTAACTTGCTTCGTTTTGCCTTCATTGACTCTTTCCAGTTGGTTTTGAACTCAATGCACAAGTACGTTCCTCGCGTTCACATCATAAAGAAACGASATCACACCGCGTCAGTCATCAACCTCAACTCAGAAGAAATGAAAACCTTCACTTTTGCGCAGACGACATTCTTAGCTGTAACTGCTTACCAAAATCAACTTGTAAGTAGAGAAAGGTATAGTTTTATATTGGCTTAGTTTGGTCGTAGAAAAGAGGCGAGCTTATTTTAAGAAAACAACTTTTCCCCCTTTTTTAAAAACGGAAAGTTCGCAAGGATGCTTTACATCGCGAACAAAGGGAAGCAATATCTGATACAACGAGAAACGACGAAGAAGTGTTGTATTCGTATAGCTAGACTTGGCTAGAAACTTCAATCAAGACGCCGTAATTTCTGCGTTTTAATTTTTGCCAAGTGTCGATGTGTAAACTTGTTTTTGAGATTGGAATACTAGAATACCGATGACAAAACTTTACTCTCTGTTTTTTGGGTATGTGGAAGGCGCACGCGCGTAACTCGTACTGAATTCCTGAACAGTAAAAGATTTGGAGCTCTAATTCTGTGAATTTGTTTTTTTCTTTTGGCTTTTAATCAGAAAATTATGATCCTCAAATAGAAAATCAGACTTATTGTTTATGGTTATTGTTGTGGTTTTATATGATGTTGAAGGTTTTTTTATATATATTTCTAGATTACAAGATTAAAAATCGATAGTAACCCTTTTGCGAAAGGATTTAGGGATACACTACGAATATTACCGATACAAAGGTACTGTTACTTACTGCTTTATCTTGATATGTTCCTCTATACACTTATTTTGCAGTCTATCGATGAGCATACTCTATTCCATTCATATTTAATAACCCTTTTTGGGACAGCATTTTTATCTCACACTTTTGCCAGTGAGACGCCCTCGCTCGCTCAAACCACAGTGGCCATGTCTTACGCTTAGTGCATGGATTCAATCTCTGCACATTACTGCGGACAGCAAAATCTAATAGACCCCTTGCACTGAGTTCTGGGTGTCAAAACAATGGATTTTTTTGCATAAGAAAAGACGGCCTATTGTTTTGTCCCCCAGAACAATTCCTCTAGAAAATCAGTGCAAGGGGTCTACAAGGATAACGGTTTGTAAACCAAGTTGCATAATATTTATAGTGCACAGAATGATAAAATATAGGCTAATAGATAAGGATAAGCATCTTAAGCACACCAAATATCTTTTTCCTTGAATTTGAAAACATAATTTCAGAAAGCTAAAGCTATGGATTGTCCCCTTGAGGTCTTATTTTGTTTTTGTCGTTTTCCAACACATATAATTTGACAATTTTTCTTAAAGCAAAATAAAAATAATGACCCGATTCATCTAATATGGCAGTAATATGGGCCGAGCTGCTGAAAATTCACCTTGTACTTTAATGACTGTTTTTTCCCCTCTGTTATAGGCATCCTTATAGCCTTCAGCCTGTCTTACGTAGCCCGGTATACGTACCAATAGCTTCACCAACATTTATATCATCACACAGCTCCCTACATAACAATATACCAAACTGTTCAAAGGGAGAGTCTGAAAGATCATCTTGTCCAGCTTGCAATACTGGCTCGATAATACATGACGGTAAACGTTTCATATTTATTTGTGCTCTATTTGTGTTTATGTAGTCTAACTTTAATCTGAGACTACCAACAGCTTTGTGCTACGCCTGGTAGATGGCAAAACCTGCGCAAATCTCTCGGTTTAGATAGAGTCTTTTTGTTAGCTTTAGATCATGCCAACATTTTGTGGTCACATAAATTTGGAACTTTCTTTTTGCGCCACTTTTTTCTCAGTGTGACTAAGAAAATGCCTTATCAAAGAAACTTGTTACTCAGGACTCGCAGCAAGAATAAACCTAGACATGAAAAAATGTGTAGATGTTTCTAAAGTTCATAGTTTTGTAGTTAAAAAAAGGACAAAAAAAGATCATATCAGCTCAATTAGATRAAAGACCATATTAGCGTTTTTTCTTTTTACAATTATGTTACCAAACGACCCTCAACTATTTGAAATGAACATTACAAGCACACCACGGATCATGCTATTATGACGACTGCTTCAATAACTTGTTTTGATTTCTTACGATATGCGGTTTCTGTGGTGAAGTGTTTTGGTATAGATTAGTTTGTGTTTCCCTTTATACATCACCTCCTTGAGGCATAACAAGTAGTCTAATTTGTTGCGCGGGGGATAAAGGATACCCTCCATAAACGAAACTGTATGAGAAACAATATAGAAGTATTTATTTTCAAAATCCATTTTCGCGAGCGCACCTTTTTTATCAAGCTATTTTTTACTCATCTTATCTGTTTGGTCCGGCATCGTTGACTCGCACGGACCTGTCCTGTCATCAGATTAGATCTTGGTTCCAATTTTTCTTGCTGAACAGTTCTATACCTCATACAGGCTCATGAGGTTCACTGAATTTTGGCGCAGTTTTGTCCCCTGCCTTATAATAATAATGATAATGGTTTTCCTTTTTTTCTACTGCAGGTTCTCTCTTTCCTGCTTCATCTACTTCGTCGATAGGAGTGACACCCTGTTCTCAGCATAGCCTTATACAGTATTCATATCCTACTAATCTTCCCTATAGTCAACAATTCCGCAAACCTCATTCACCACTCTCTCCACAGTTCTGCTCGCAAATGCCTCACTGATGATGAGTCCATCTGGATCATTAAAGGATTTGTTTTGTAAAATTTGGACCTTTCACTGTCAACAGACTAAGAGTAATGCGTCGGGAGTTTTAGACCTGTACCTTGGATTGTGACACCGTAGATAAGGAATAGACTAGGACGTCTTCTGCTAATTTGCGCTCTCGTCACTCACCTTGTTCTGCACTGAAAGGATTCACCTCGATCCAAGAAAGGTCTTACAAAGTCCTTTCATTTCCCCGTTATATCAAAAGAACAAAATCTGGAAAACAAACCTTGCTCAGTGCGACACTCATAAATCGCCTCCTTCTGCACGCAAAGGATTCACCTCCAACAAAGGCCCCGCAGTTAAAGTCCTTTCATTTTGGTCGTATCAAAAGAAACAAGATCTGGAAAACAAACCTTGCACAATGCGTCACTCTCACATTAAACTCAATCACTTTATTCTGCACTGATATAATTTTTGAGTATTTGACGAACTGAACTGCTGAGTTCATTATACTCTTGCGCACGGACACCAAGACAAAACCTGCCCACTTACATTACTGTTCCTCTTTTCAATATGGAGGAAGGTTCGTTGGAAAATTGTCCTCTCCTTCTCCGTACTTTTCACGGCGAACACCAAAATACTGATGATAATAAGTCCATCCATCTTAATAAAAAAGAGACATCTTAACACAGGTTCTGGAAAAGGTCCCACGCGGGCTCAATTTGTTAGAGATTTGAAGGCGTCAACACAACTGCAGGCAGCCTATCCGTTCTGTAGCAGTCAATTTTATTGAAAGGCTTAAAAAAGCGTCATAATTTATTTCTATATATTGTAAATAGAGAATTTTTTTTTATAAAAAAGTATAATTAATATATGTGTAAATTAAAAACCATGCCTCGATCAGATCTTCGACATCCTGTCTTTTGGTTTTCATCCTAAACATCCATGCACTGACGTTTTCTTCACGTTTAAGACATTCGTTAATGTTACTCAATCTTTTACAATTTGTTTTCCATATTTGCAGTCCGTGTCATTGATCCTTCCGCAATAATATATATATTGAACTTTTTCGTATATATCTACTTCTGTTAATGATTTCACTAATGTGAGGCAAAGGGACTTAAGATGTCCTTATATTTCACCTTTGAATTTTTTGAGCAACACTTGCTAGTTTATCTAGTACCCTTGAAGAGTTCCGGCATGTTACCCTACGGGCGTAGAGAAGTTAAAAGGAGACTCTGCTCGCAGGGTACCGGCATGTTAGCTCAGGTATACAAACTCGGATATCGCGAAGTAAAAGAAAAGATAACGGAGCACTTGTTGAGAGTAAATCTCACCGAGAGACTACTCGTTAATGCGCAACTCCTTTAAATACTCATTTACTGACTCAATATGATTCCAAAGTGAAATTTCTATTGCCATTACCAGGTCCAATTCCAAGTTGTCACTCCTGTATAATAAAGTGCATTTTTCAATAGTTATGACTGTATAACTGCAATATTATTTTTACTTAAGCAAAAAAGTGCTACTTTTTGGTGCCCCGCCGTAGCGTGCACTCATAACTTCCAAGACAGTCTCGCCTCAGTTTTTCTGTCTCGTGACTCCATTACACTTGAACATCTCGAACGCTTTCACTTCCAGAGTGACCCTTTCTAACTTAATCTCGATTTTAGCACGGGTGGCCGTCATTGCTGTCTGTGTGGGCCTCATTTTTTGCATAGATTCAAGGTCTTTTTTGGTGTCGACATTCAAAATTTGACTTGGCACTCCTACCGTTTTCAAACCTTACGTTTTGACTTGAAAAAAATGTCGAGGACGTAAGAAGAATGAACGTATTAAGTAGGTGATGAAATGCTATTGAAAAACGCAAAGCACTTGTAATTATCTCAATGGTGGACCTCGCATTCTCAAAATTGCGTTAAGTTCAGTCTTGCTAAGCCCTCTTTCAACGCTAGCCAAACGTTTCCCTGTCTTGTAAAATCGCTTGCAACAAATCACTGGCTGCGCACAAGCTGTTAGTATTGTTTCATGATGTTGAAATGCTCCCTCAAGGTCTGGTGATAGTCTTTCGAAACCTTGGACAGACATGTCACACGCGATCTCCCTTATCAGTAAGAATCAGCTGGAAGAACAAATCGACTGAGTTATTTTCCCAAGCCTAAAGGTCACCGCTCTCCAAGTCTGTTCTGTCCACAGCTCATGCACCGATCATCTTACAAAGTCATTAAGCAAATTAATCGGCTAATGTTTGTACTATCTATTTAAGTTAAGCCGCCGTCCGTAGCCACCGTCTGGCCTGGCTCGTATTTAGAGGTATTTATACTCTGATGGAAAACAGATTGATGGTTCAAGGACTTGATAATGTGGCGAGGTATTTTAAACGGGTTTTGCTTACGAGGGATGTTATGATTGCRGAGATTTCATCAAAAGTGTTGAGCTATATTACTTGTCGCCTTATCTCTCTGAGTCAGACGACATCTATCGAGCTGGGATCGATCTTTGCCGGATCGGCTAATCTTAGTTAGCACTCCAATGTTGTTTTTCCTCGCGTTTTGACAATATTATAACGGATATTTCGATAAAACCACAAGCGAACAATCGTGGTTTATTTATAATAAACASTGAATTATTTTAGGAGTGCCGAGCAAAAACCAGACTGGATTAAAAATCCATTATCGCCACTTTGTACTTATCGCGCAAAATAATGTTTACCAAGTCACCTTATCACCAAATATACTTGATATCATCCAAGAGAGCACGCGCGCTCTGGGCATATCTACAACGAATGTAATATCACGCTATATACCCCTACAGTGTAATATTTATCTTCAGTGTTTTATCACTAAAGGCGCGCGCTTCACTATCTTGAAAACAATTTTGGAGCAGACATGGCGCCCTTTCTGCCATGTCGTCTGTATAGTAGCCTTTAGAGAGTTTTGTATTTTTTTGATCAGTAGTTGAGTACAATGCAATCGCTATTGATGGTTGCAAGCATTCCCAAGACAGTCGAAAGACAAAAACATGACGGCCATTGTTGTGCCGTTAACAATGGGTGCTAATGAGAAATATAATAATGTTTAATATTTATAAAGCGCAAATTAACATATGAATATGATCCAATGCGCTTAATACTTAAATATTTTGTTAAATGGCACCAACATGCCCGCGATGAAGTAACGCGCAATCAAAGAATAACAACAAGTTTGTAGCTTAATTTCTCAGCATTGTCTCTGGACCGTAGCGTTTTCGCAATTTTCTATCGGTCTTTTTCTTATTTWCTTTTTCGTATCAAATTGGTGGAGTACTAGAGGCTCATGCAAAGTTTGTCTGCAGTCTTTAGGCAATGACCGACAATTCTTGTATTGATCAAACGGCGCATTTTTGCTGTCTATATGGATCGCCAATCTACATATACATATTGTTATGGTTTGTCTTTTTTACTCTCTTTTGTATTTTGTTTCTTGGGTAAAAGCGCGCAATCCCACTGTCTAAAAACCGAAGCAGTCGGTAGCAGATACAGCGCATTACTCTTTATATGCCGGGCTATCCGATTAGCTAGTATCYCTTTTTTGCTTTCCTCGACCTGTTTGTAGTAATGTGTTGTCAGCCGCATTGATCAAAGTTTTCATTTAGACAATTAAGAATAAAACCTTTTTCAACGCTTTTATTTTAGAAAATCCATGACATCATATCATTAAGTTAAGAGTTTTCGAATTTCGAATTACTTATTTACATAGTAAAAAATACACATATTTACAGTACAAACTAAATCAATYGATGGGTTTTGGAACTGTTTTAAACCTCATTTCAAATTCATAATCCGTTACTGTTAGCTATTAATAAATAATCCCCATCCATTCGTTATGCACACTCTTAGATCCTTAAAGCACATCCTTGCTTTGAAGATTCAAGAATAAAGTAGTAAAAAGGCAATATATTTTTCTAAAATAGCAAAACAAAGCAACAGTTCCCATAAAAACTAGGAGCCAAAATGGCGACCGTGACGTCACCTGCAAAAAATGGCGGCCCTGACGCGTCATCCTCAAAACAAAATGGCGTCCTATTAATACCTAGCGCATGCTAGATTGTAGTAATTTCACTAAATATAAACTAAGAATATTGGRTTGATAGGCGTAGGCTTTAGATAAAAAATTGTAATATTAAAGTGAATGACATGGGTTTGATAGGGGAGAAAAAACATGCCTTAGCAGCTGGAAAAGGCTTTAGTTTCTCTTCATTCTTCTTCATTCTTTAAGAGAGGGAGTCTCTTTCTCAAAAAAGTATTCCTTAAAATTGAATACCTTGTGGAGGAGACACTAAATGCGAGATTACGCGGAGCAATTTTCTCTGCAACTTGTCTCGCAACAGCGTTGCTACACAAGTTGCAAGAGTCTCACAGCATTTTCTTCAAATTGAAACGCTGCAGTGCTCCATAAAACTTGTGTCGCCACGCCGTTGGGAGACAAGTTGCAAAGAAACTTGCTCYTTGTAATCGGGCCTTAATTTATTCTGTAGCTGGTGCTGAAGCCATTTAAAATGGTAATGATACAGGAACGTGAAATGGCGACGGCAACAGAGCATCGAGGACTGGTAACGGTTTATGCGGAGAGAAAGGACTGGGCTGAGGTAAGTGAGGTACAAAACTGTTGGATGGAAATGATGGGCTGAGTGAGACTGGTACTGGAGATCTTGGTAAGAAACCTATAAATAGATATAAGATCACAAAGAATCAGTGTCACGACATAAGGTTATTATAGTTACCTGRAGTAGAAAGTAAATTATGATAATTTTGTATACAGCCCTTTAAAAGAAGGTTGTTCAAGGCTTTTTTGCACATTGCATGCTGCACGTCGCATATTGCTTACTTGAAATGCACAGTTATATTTATATATAAATAATGTCAGCAAATACTTGCTATTGAACTACAAATTTACGCTAAATGGCTTAAAACTACACTTGTAAACTAAGGATGCGTTAACAGAGCAAAAGAAGTAAATTGTCCAAATAACTTGCAATTGTAATAGTGTAATTTAGAATTCGAAAACGACTGGGAAAATAAATGCCACACCCTTAACTTGTGTTTACTACACTAGAGTATTTCGTAGCGTTTTTAAGGAGTAATCTRCGACTCGAGTGCGACCTCACACACTTTAATTCAGTGTTAAGCCTTGGACATCATCGAGCAACATTATGCGTGTTTTTCATCATAAAATTGTCYCGACCTCTTCTATTAATAGCTTAACACTACTTGATGTGTTGAGCCGAAGCTTCACTAGTTCATTTTTTAAGGATCATTTTTGCCCATTTAACTAGCTTGTGCTAGTAATAAGCATTATTCGATGGCGCCAAAGTGTCGAGAAATCCAAACCACAAAATTCCTAGTAATTAGGGCGTTTAGTTCACAAGGGGTTAAACATTTYGCTCCTTCTTAAACCAGTGTGAATTCAAGTATTTGTCTCGAAAAGCTGGATGATCTGTGGAAGTGATTCGGTCATCAGACTTGCAGGCGCTTGKTGTGATTCAAAAGGTGGAAGTCTGTAATGATGGATGTTAAGTAATCGCGTTATAATAGGTGTTTCAGTACTAGACACAGGGTTACTGGGCAATCGTATTCGCTTTGTCGGTCCCTTTATTGAATGGATATCAACACTCTTTTCTAAGCTTAACATTTGAACAGAGAAACGGAAATGTTAATGAATCATTTTTATTAAAACAAARATGCTCGTTGAAACTATGATCACACAATCCTAGCCCTTGTAGCGGCGCTTTGGGGAGGGGGGAGCTACACAATCTTTGTTTCTCTGGCTGTCTACGCGACCACCTACGACTCTAAATACAAAAACATCCATTGCTTTTACCCGTTATAGGATAGGATTTAATTAAAAATTTGAACAGAATTGTTGTTTTTCTAAATCGTTTTGTTACCCAAACGAATTTCCACGTTTTCATCGTCGTTGTATGTGCTCCACCTTTTTTCTAGCGTTGACGGTTTAAAACGCAATCATCAGTATGTGGATGTTGGGTGTACTGACAGCTTTTTTTCTGCGCTCATATGGCCAGTGTTTGCATAATACATACAATACAATGCAATGCAATACAATACAATATAGTTTACTGCTCTCTAGTACATATACTGGTCGATTGTATTCAAGTCCCATTGTTTAGCTCGTATTCACACAAAAGCGKCCGATTATGAAGGCTTCAATATTTTATTTTGAAGACAAAAATAGTTTTTWWAAAAATATATTACCTGTAGTTAAAATCCTTGTTCTGTCATCATTTGGATAAGGGATCGCATGCTGTGGTCGTTTTCCAAAACCCACTACAGGCCAGGGAAGGCCTGGGCCGAATGCGCCAGGGTAGAACTTCGGATAATGTTTGTTCTCAGACGAGTGGTTATCCCTGAAAAGAGTTACCAAAGCTTAGAATTAATGTTTCAAAGATAAGGAAAGAAAAGAAGAAAACTAGGGCCTGAAAAATATAATGGATTGTTCTTCTCTGAAAAAATTGGTTAGAGGATTGAGTATTTATTGGGGTAAGCCTCCTTCAGACAATAAGACATTGAACTTGTAATTCGGTTTACATTTACAAATAGTAAGCTTACTTACTCATGGTGACGAGTTCTTTGTTTTATACTTCATTGACGAAAATAAAAGACTACGATTTTTTTTTTTTTTTTCACCGAAAAAAATTATGAAACAGTAAATTAAGGTAAGATCGATTGTTGATAGTATCCATCGCGATAATGAAAATCTAGAGGAAATCCCGTTTTATATGACTTTGGACTTGAAAAATGCTCAGRTAAACTAGTATGGCTGGTAAGTAACTGACCGCAAATAGTGTTACTGGGCTTCCTTAAGCTAATTCATTACCTTTCCACTGGAATTAATCGCGAAGAATCCCGAAATCCCTTGGCGAACGGATTACTRTCAATTTTAAGTCTTGTTATCTGGAACAACATAGTTGATTTAATGGTTATTAAAGAAGAAACCTGACCAAGAAAACACCTACAACACCAAGGAACATGGCAAAAATACGTCCTGCAACACCAACAAACCTGACCAAGAATACAATACATCCTGTAA